TATTATATTTTCTTCTTTTATATACTACCTTAATGTTTGATTGTGAGATATCACATGGTTTGCTAGTGTGAGTGATTACTTTCCCGCTTAAAATTTTAGCTTCACTTCACCTCGCAGTTCGTTTTTATATTTTAAAAAGTAGCTGATTTTCTTATTTTATTTATCACGGTAAGCTGTTCAATACATAATATTAAAACAATTAAAAATATTTTTATAATAATGGTGATAATTTTTAATAAATATTTCTTGGATTTTTAAAGGAAGGACTGTGATCACAGTATTAACAAAAATGAGTGATGTATCTTATAAATTATATAAACGTCCATTTACCGTATGTATAGAGGGAAATATTGGAAGCGGTAAAACAACATTTCTAAGTCATTTTAAAAAATTCAACAATACAACAGTTTTACAAGAACCTGTAGAACTTTGGCGTAATGTTTCTGGGACTAACTTACTAGTAAGCTTTCATACATTTAAATATTAATAGCAACCCTATATTAAATGCAAATAAGATTAATAAATACATAAATAAAATAACATTGTGCAGGAATTAATGTACAGTGATCCTATTCGGTATAGCTTTCTATTTCAATCCTACGTGCAATTAACAATGCTTCAATTGCATACACATAAAACTCCACATCCATATAAAATTATGGAAAGATCTGTATATAGTGCAAGATGTTTTATTGAAAATATGAAACGTACAAACTTGTTACGAGATGTAGAAGTTAATGTTTTAGAAGATTGGTATGACTGGTGCATAAAAAGTACTAATATAGAAACAGATTTAATAGGTAATGTATCAGCACAAATTTAGCAGACAATTGAATTTTCATTATTAGAAAACTAAATATTAATCTTTTGTACTAACCACTATTTTTATTTAAAACAGTATATTTAAGAACATCCCCAAATATTGTACATGGAAGGATGAAAAAAAGAGGAAGAATGGAAGAAAATTCTGTATCGTTAGAATATTTAAAACAAATTCATGATATTCATGATGAATGGCTTTATTATCAGACATTATTTACTTTACCAGCACCAGTTTTAGTATTAGATGGAAACAAAACTCTAGAAGAGATGGTAATGGAGTTTGAATATTGCAAAAACCACATTTTTGGTAAAAGAATAGAAGACAAAACAGCTGCAAAAAATGTAATTTGTAAACCAGCTTCAATATATCCAATCAATGAATGGAAATAACAATGACAAGAGTCATTATGTATTTAAATTTACCTAATTTATTTTTTTATTGAATGTCTTGTACAAACGAATGTATCTTATTCTTCTTTGTACAATTCTGATCGATAATTATATATACACAACCAATGGAGTTTTAAACAAAGTCAGTTACCAAAAGTTTCAGTTGTATATAAATTTCATAAATGTGTACAAATTTTGCAAGTATTGCGTATCCATATACATACATTTGATATTGTCATATACTCAAAAAGTGAAATAATACTAAATATCATTAATTGCTAAGTAATATCGAATTTTAATTTATTTTTTAGTAACTACGAATTTATAGAAGATAAGTATTGTTAGAATCGTTTAATTCTATAATATTCATATGAAATATTCATAACATGTATTACAAATTATAATAATAAAAAGTTAATTGTATAATTTATATTTGATATGTATTGCATTATTGTCTTACGTTAAAATAGAAATAAAATGCATTATTGTATTTCACCAGAGAAATAATTTCTGGTTTATAAAAAAGTACAATAATTAAAAAAAAGCATACCAAGATGACAATCTATACTAAGTAAAAGTTCAACAAGTTCACATTAGAGCTGTTTGGTGCACTAGATAAATGTGCATCTTACAAATTACCAGTAGATTATATCGGCGTGAACGTGATAAAAAATCAGATTGTATTCTCATGAACAGAAGCTAATCGTGTTGCACAATCATATTCTTGACAGACCCATAATAAATTTGTCAAATTACCAATACTAGCATCCTTTGTATTAGCCTGTTTCCAATCTAAAAGTATCTGATAAATGACCTGAAAATCACGATTTGTGAATGAGTACACTTAAAGGAAAAAGTAATTGTGCATTTTTTGTAACAATTTAGCTTACTTCACTTATTCCTTTATATCTGTAATTTTCTTCAAATTGTTCAATTTGGCCATCTGAATATGATAATCTTCTAGCAACGTCTTTCCAACCATGTCCAATATGAGTCTTAATAATAAATATATCTTCCAAAGTAATTTCATCTATACAAGTACATAAATGTTTTACATTTATAGGCATCTGTTGTGTACTTGGTTTCGACCAGGAATCATCTGATGGTCCAGTATGTTTAGAAGGAAATTGATTAACATTGCAAATATAGCTGGTTCTTGCGCCAATCTTTACTCCATTAGAATTGACTATATTGTAATTTACAACCCGTGTTCCTTGTGCTAAAAAGGAGAATTCAAATTTAAATATTCAGCATGTTATAGAACAAACCTGCAGCAGCTGCAAAATACTTACATTGCTTGAATTGCTTTGGCTTTGTTTTCGTTTTAACATCAGGTTTGCTACGTGGTTTTGAATCACAAGTGGGAAATTTAATTTCCTTTTCTTCTTGTGTATCAGGATTAGTATTTGTAGGTACAGAACCATTAGTCAATAATTTATCAATTGCAGGATTCACATTCGATTTTTCATTTGTTGTATCAGGATTTAAATTATGGGTATACCCTTTAATTTCTACTCGTGGTGGTTCGGGTATTGCATCTGTTGTTAACATATGAAATCGTCGAGACAGGTTGGAAAGAATTGGCATTTTGTATTGCCTGTTATGTTCTATTTAAATGTTAAATATTTATTACTATGAATTTTAAAATGGTTTTGGATTCTGCTCCGTATCTCACTGTTTGTAAGCATCTATAATCATAAACAATTGACACATTCAGAGCTTACGTTTCAAGCCCACAGTAAATAAAGCAGCAACAGTTTTCATGACTCACACTTCATGTCAAGAAGATTAAGAACCTTGAACGCATATTGTAAGATTCGCTAAATAATAATTCATATTTAAACAACAACAACACAAAATTCAGTTACTTAAAAATTCTCTGGTTCAATGTATAAATTTTTTAGTTTAAAATCGTCAAGATCATTTAACAATAAAAATGTCCTAGACACAATTTTTTTTATGTTTAATTTTTTAAATCAAAACTTTCTTTTCCTGCTCTTCATTCGTGGAAATATTTTCACTTGTTCGTTTTTCGGTAATGATATCTTTAAATATAGCTATACGATTTCTGCATTTTTTGACATTAAGTTTTTGACTGTTACCGCGATTAGGAAATACATACCTATGGATAACTGGGTCGTTATTTCCATATTACCATCGACGTGAAACAAGATACACTGAACATACAATGTAAATTTTTATCACACGCCCGTGTCATTGACAACTTTACCAACACAGTGCAAATAAATACAAATAAGTAAATAAATAAAAAATCTACAAGGATATCGCAGAATTCCACGAGGGGGCACGAGGGAGTATTTCGAGGGGGTTTTCAAGGGGGTTCATGGGGTTTCTCGAGGGACACGAAGCAGGAACAACAGAAATGTTCACTCCAGTATTTTGTTTTTCCTTTTTAGAATTTGGAACAGAGTTAAATGTTTTCTTTATACAATAGATCTAAATGTTATCCCGGATTGGTAGCGCTATCTATTGCGAGAATGCTCAAACTTGTAGTCAAATAGTACCAGATAGTCTCCGCTAGATTATTATAAAATATTTTGTTCATAAAAAAGCCGATAGTTGATCAGTGATATTGGCGGGAATCCCTAAAGTTTGAGATTTCATTATTACTTGCTTATTTGTTCTTCAGTGGAATAAAATACAATGTAAAATAATTCTTTATTTTCGAAATGATCGAAATTTTTAATTTAATATTTTATTAAAAATATTATTTTTCAGTGAGAAACAAATGACTTCATAATTTTTAATTTGTTTTCAAGATTATGGATGAAAAGAATAATTTAAAACATTATGTATTATCAGAGTATACTTTGGATAAATTAAAACTGATTAAAGAAGCATTAAAAACAAGCACAGATCAAGCTGATCCTTTATGGACTTTTGTGATAGGAAAGGTTTGTATCAGCATGAGAAGCACAATATAAGAGTAATTATTTAAAAGTATATCATTTAGGAAGAAAGTGATACATGTGTAAGCGAAGAGGAAAGTGTAGATGAAAATGATGTAAATAATGATCACAGTTTGTCCAAAATGTCCAGTTGTGACCAATTTCCATCTACCCAGTTTTATTTTACACAATTCGACAATAATATTGATGACAAAATGAAACAAACATCTGTACAAAAATGTGATATTGTAGAATGTCTTTTGGAAGGTTTAGAACGTCCCAATGGAAAATTGGATATAAATTTGTTAGAAAATATAAATGATGAAGAACTTGTGGAGTTAGTCTGTGATTTAGAGAAAAAATTAAACATAACAGGTACCTATAATCTTTGTTGCTCTTTGAATAATATGAGCTTAGAAGAAGGAATGAAATATGTATCAATCTTTTATACTTATTTATTATTACCAAAGGTAATTAATGTTTATCTTAATGCTTGTTCACTTCTACATACCATAAGAATTTATAATTAATGTTGTGATATGTTTGATCTGTTATAGATAATTGCTTTGGAAGAACCTTCAAGAATGTTAATATCTGCTATTGTGGAAAGTGTGAAAAAATTTCCTAATGATGTACAAAACTCAATTTTCATTCCTTTGTTAAATGCTAATTTAAAAGATGCAACAATTACCACTGCTATAGTAAATGCTTTTGAGTCTGAGCGAAATCATGTTTTGATTGAGTATGTTGTGAAACTAATTATTTAAATATATCCAAATATGTTTAACAACATATTTGACTAATTTTAATAATGTGTGCAGGGAATATTTGTCACATACAAAAGAACTTAAATTATGGCATCTTCCTATTCTACAGAGTCTAATATCTGTTAAAATGGATCCTGATACAAAAGAAAAATTTGTACATCTGTTATCTAAGAAAGCACTAGAATTTTCTAAGGAGAAAAATTTTGGTAAACTGGTATTATCATTTATAAAAGTTAATGTAAACTTTTCAGAGCAACAAAAACTTTTATTGTGGGAAATTGGTGATATAAACCAAACATTCTTCAAAAAACCTATGCAAAACATGTTAAAAGGTACATAGTTTATCAATAAATTTATTACGTAAGAAAATGAATAAAAATGAATATTTATAATATGCATAAGTAATTGCACACTGTTCAATTGACAGATGCGAGTGAAAATGATTCTTAGCTTTTAGTATCATGTAACATTTCTTCAAAATGAACTGATTTTAAAAATCACTAGTAAATTAAAATGAAATGACCTATTAATTAAATTATTATCAAAGGAATGTTGTGGTTTAAATCGTATTATTTCGTAGGGATAATGAAAAACTCAAATATCAGATGATATAACCTGTCCCTTGAATGAAAGGGAATGGCAAACAGTTCTTAACGCGAATGGAGAAGTGAAAACACTATAATGTAAAAATGACGGAAGAACTTTCTGGCGTGGCAATAGTAATATTTATAGCGGCTGGTGTACTAACGATGTTATTATTATTTATTTTCGCGAAACGTCAAATTATGAGATTTGCTTTGCGATCACGTCGTGGCCCTCATATTCCTATAGGGCATGATGCAAGAAAGGTATGGATAAAGAAAGAGGTTATGTTGTGTACTGTGTTGTTGTCAAAATTATAACATTCATTTATTTAGTCGCTAAAGAAGGAAATTGAAAGGCGGATAGAAGTAATACCAAGAATTCAATATGAACCACAGCTTATTAGTGATCCACGATTCATTGTGACTCCTCGCACTCAAATTCCACCACATTATTATAGACTGAAAGCAGTAGATGATATCAGAGTTTTAGGTAATTTTAACATTTATTACGATAAATCGATAATTGTAGAATAAGTAGATACTTAATATTTTTATCTAATTTTCTCGTAGAAGCCGAGATTACAAAGTATGATAGTTGTCTCAAAAGACATCCATCTGAAAATCTAAGAGCTTACCTACTCTCTACATTAGCAACTCCATTGAATGGAAGTGGACAACGATTAATTCATCAGTTTTGTGACTTGTATGAGCATGCTAGACATGATCCAACAGAATTTGGAGATGAAGAGTATCAAGTATATACTCGATTGTTTCTCAAATTAATGGATGCGTAAGTACTAGAAAAATAAGGGAGGAAAACAATTAAAAGTTACTACATACTAGTTTAAATACAATTGTATTTTAGAGCCCGTTTATTAAAATCTTATCCAAGTAGTAGAAAATCTAGTCCAAGTCGTACACCTATAAAAAAGAATGTTGAAACAAAACGAAACATACTAGAACCTAGGATGAAACTGCCAGAAGATCATATATTAACTGGATCAAGACCCAACACATTGACAGTTATGGCATTGGATAACAGTGAAACATCTGTTTAATATTATCAAAACCATCATATATATGAAGTGTGATTACATGTATTCTTTTCCATTACATTCCACGAACTTCCATTGCATACAATTTATATTTATAACTCAGTTTTAATTGACAAATATTTGGTCCATACATCCTTATAATATGGATTATGTCTCAAGCTAATTAATGAATGATGAAAGGTGAGTTTGTATGCATCAGAGACAGTACTTGTTCTCATGTAGTTTAACCATTCCATGATCTAAAACATTGCAGTGCATAATAAAATATTCAGTTCTTAATAACGGTAAGATATTCTTTTCTTTTTTTAGGGCAAAATTGACCGGATTTTACTGTATACATTATATAGTAGCACGTCACGTATATGTATAAATACCTGTGGCACCGCATACTTCCACTCTTGTCTATCGGACAGAATTGCGAGAGCTCGAGGAAATAATTCAATTCGGATATTCGCTGACGAGACCGACAAATCTTGTTTCACTAAAATGCAATCTATGCCGGACAAACTGATAACAGAAACAAATAAAACGCTGCAGTAGAATTGTACTTTCCTACTGTGATCTTGTACCGATTCTAACAACAGTCTCTGAATTTGTATCATAAAATCCAATACCCAATTTATAATTGATTTCTTAAAACGCGTTTCAGCGTGCATTCTTTGAATAGTTTCGAGAAAATACGCCTGTATGCTACGACAGAAATAATAAAGTACACTTTCACCGACTACCATTAACTTACATCGCGTAAGCGTGTTTTAATACTTACCTAGGCACGGATGCAGCTTCCTCGATGTGCTCGTTCAACCACATTAACGAAAACTCGGAACACTTCTTTATAACCAACTCGGCCCTGATCGCGACAGCATTTTTCAATTTATGAGTTGTTATTTCGGTCCACGTTCTAGGAGACGTTATTATTTCTAAATGCTTCGTTGGCAATTCTAAAACTGCTGTAACGTAAGACTGTAAATGTTGACGCGTCAAATCGATCTTGTCGAAAAGTTTCTCCAGCAAACCGGACAACAGCGTGGAATTCCCATCGTACACTTCTTCGTTTCTTAAAGTTCTAGCATACGAGGACATAATACTGATAAACAAGTTTATGAAATGCTCGTTATCGAATGTTATCTTCTCAACAACATATTCCAATGTAGTTTCTAAAAACGGTTTTATGGTGCTCGGTTGTACGGCTTGACACAGATCATCGAGATTCTGATACCATACAGCGTACTCGTCGCTTTTTAAATTCAAATCAATATCGGTTATTGATGTGTACGCTGACAGACACTGTTCCACAAAAGATTTCGCAGACAACGATGTCTTCGCGTGATGACATGCGATGGAAAGCGTGTACTTCTTAGCTTCAGGTGACAGATCAATAGTATTCTTTAGGAAACTCCAATCTACATTAGGTAACGGTTTCGGATACTTATGAGCGAACACTCTCAAGCATTCTGTAATGACACAGCGACTACTGGATTCCAGTTTGTCGGAGCGTCTCAAATATTCACCGATCCCTCTTATCACGCTCTTCTCTGGTAGGTACTTGAAATTATGTGGTTCCCCATGGGGCCAAACGTAAATTCCAGATCGGAAAGAATTCACTTCCTCGTTCACGAAGGCAATCAAGAGATTCCCAGCGCTCGATAAAGCTGCTTTGTTAATATTCCTAAGCATTTCTATCCAACAAGTACCAGGCACATACGGAAACGCGTATTTCGGTTTCTCAGTTGCATCCATGGGTGTCTCCTGTACAATAAGATGCGACTGGAAGCTCGCCGGCAATGTTTCCAGAGAGATTTGCTCTAATCGATAAGAAGCCAGAGCTTTTAAAGCGGATTCGATAACTCTTGGATCGTTGCAAGTCGCGTATTTCCAGAGATTCGATACAACGTCAGAGATCAGTTGGTCGTACTCTTCAATGGGCAGAGAAGACGGATACGATGGGACATCACCGAACAATTCACAAAGGCTTTCCAATACAATGGCACGTTTCTCTTTCTCCATTTTTGGAGCTAATACCCGCCACGTTGAAGAAATGTCAATCACCGAAGCTTTACAGAGCGCGGAAATACTTTTCAGAGCAAGCGCGCTTGCGGTTCCTCCGTATGTGTCCGTGGAACGGTTTAATATTTGTGACAGCAACGGTACCAACGTTTCCCCGTGCTCGGGATGGTTCTCGCATATAAATTTCATAGCTCTTGCACAAGTCGCAGCCGAATGCCAGGAAGTATCATTCTTCATTAGACGAATTATCGCGGCTGAGACAAATCTGTAACAACCCGGCTGTTCCTTCAGTGTCTTCAGATACAATTCGATGGCGAAACATTTTAACTGTCTGTCACCGAGTAACAGCGTGTCCAACGTATAAGTGATGATTGGAATGTTTTCTTTAACGGTTGCAAGCTCAGGTACGACGAGTAGCAGGTACTTTAATTCTGTGCTGGTTTTAGACTTGGTCAGTTTATGTAATACCAGAGATAATAGATGCGATTGAAAACTTTTCACTTCTCTGCAAACATCGACGAGTATGTTACAACTCAGCTCAGCGATCTCTGAACTGTTCGTTTGTATGAGGAGACCAGCCAATAAAAGTTTACATTTATTCTTTAAGTCGATTGGTACTTGCGACATACGTTTCAACCAGAGCACAATATCATTCGGTTCCCACGTATTCAGACAACGAACGATCTCCACGTGGAACTGAAGACAGGGTTCGAAATGGGTGAACGCTTCAAAGATCTTACTCATAACCATCGTCTCGTTATGAGCCGGAGATCGTTGGATAAATATTTCTTTCAATAAATCTGTTGCCATATCTAACGCATCGGAACATAATAGTGACGGATAGGCCATCCACTTTAAGATCGACGCTACCAAAGTATTCAGAAATATATCCGTGCAATACATTTTCTTTGTTATTGTTGTACCTATAACATAATATGATGAAACTTAAGCAGCAAGTATGAACATCGAAGTATGTTTAAGTTGAAAGTACTTACATATTTGCAAAACACTATATAAGTAAACAGTTGGACATAATGTTATTATTTCTGACATTAATATTAACATGAGATTCCCTATGCAAGTATCGCACTGATCTATAATCACAAATAACATGATAAAATTCGGTCTCGGATCTGATCCGTGTTTTAGTAATTGCAGAGATAAAGATGCTAGCACAGGGGCCAATGCTGTACAATATTCTTTATTTTTCTCTCGCGATACTTTCTCAGCGAATTCTAAAATTCTATAATTTGTATTTATACAAGAATGGATTTCAGCAATGTACAACCAAAGTAATACTTCGGTTTGCAAACACATGCCGTGATCTGATTTAATCAACAATTGCCAAAATGGTTGTACGCAGCAGTCCAGTGGATTTGAAAAAGGATTACATAAAATATGCAAAAACACAGGACGTAACATTTCTACACTGTTTTTTCGGACTCTGAAATACTTGGATTCTTAGTATGTACATGAGCATACAATAAAAATATACATTCTTTTACGTACCGTGAATCATGATGACTCATAATGTACGATATTTGATTTAACACTGTTTGCCAGCTATATTTATCTTGATTCAATATTATTATGAAAGGATGTTGTGGCGCATGAAGCGTGAACGGATATATAGCATTGTTTTCCTTCTTATTCTTCAGATCCATGATCAACAAATGACCAATAGCCGTAGTAGCAGCTGTGTAATTTCTATAGTACGCAATGCATCCGTTATAAGTAAATTTTAAGGAAAACCGAACGAATCGTGTCAATTAAATTAATTTACTTAATCGAAGACAGGCTGGATACGAAAGTGGACAATGCCTCATTGATGTTCCACAACCCATCCTCGACTAATGCGACGAGAGCTTGACAAGCAGGTATGCTGACCGCGACGTCTACGCTATCTCGTTTCGTCGACAGTAATTTAAATTCAGATATCTGTTATAAGCGTAAATATTAGAAAAACGTCAAATTTCTGTTGATGGTACTCGATAGATTGAAAATTTACTTGTGTAATTTTATCGTCTGCTTGATTCTGTCTCTTTTTCTTGATGGCATCGAAAAGTTTTGATATCGCCTGTAAGAAGAAACACTGTACAACAAACATTACGATTCAAATGAAACGAATTATTACATTTTCGAGAATCGCGTATAACTCACGTGCGATATCAAAACAGGATTCGTTGATTGTAACTTATACTCGATTTCATCCATTTTACATGAAAAATATCCTTGTATAAAATAAATCGTTACACGACACAATTTTACGATCTTTCTTACATGAAATACATGCAAGAAACAAATTCATACCTCGTCACGTATTTACATACAGAAATTTCAATGCTGGTTCAATCGTAAACAAACATTTAGGTTATAATACTTAACCTACAATTGCAATTCATACCCGAAGATATCTCTTCGATATATGTACAAACGTATAAAAATCATACAGAATCATTTGCGACAATCACGAATTTAACGCAAGCAATAAACTCAAAACTATTCAACGAGCTTGCACAGCTGATGCACACTTTCTTTCCCGCCATTACGGGTTCTCGAATCGGTTCGAATCGAACGTTGATATTTTTGAATATGGCAAAAACACGCGGGAAATTCGATTACTCGCAATTCATCGGATGAACACGCACCGTCCACAAGCCGCTAATTACGATCGAGGAGATATCGTATAGAGAGATTTTTCAATGTATTTATTCGTATGGACAAGTTGGAGCATAGTGCACAATATATTTAATATATAGTAGTCTGAGGATGGGGATCAGAATACATTCTGGAGCTTGAACACAATATCTTACAATTTAACGACAAGATGCCTGCATTTCTGTACTTGCTTTCTGTACGTAATGTTACTCGTATATTCATATATTCGAAGTGTATAATATATAAAGCGCAACGACTCGCTATTTTTATCATCCTAAAAAAAAGGAGACGAGAATAAGGGTTCTTGTTTATTACGTCGTGTTACGTTACGTTACGTTACGTTACGTTACGTTACGTTACGTTAC